AAATATCTCAAGGAAACTGTATAATTTATTTGATTATATTGAAATCCAATTTCATGTAAATCATTATATTCATCAAGAAATTGTTTCAAGTAATTAGCAGCACTGCTTGGTTTTATATCACCACAAAAAACAGCAACAATAAAAGGTCTACTACACTCGAATTTACAAAGAATAGACCAAAGATGCACACTATTACTTTTAAACAAAGGGATACCATCAATATTTACCTCAGGAGCTATATTAATGGACATGTTTGTTCTCAAATAATGTTTACTTTATACCTTTTAATAATCCTAAATAAACATATTCGCCACCGCATGTTTGCAAAACATTTACAGTGCGAGGTTTATGTAAAAGACTTCTAGCATCTTTAGGAAGTTCTTTTTCATGACCATTTTTTCTAAAAATACTCAAAAGCTCATTAAGTGAAACTCGTGTGGATCTGTTTCGAGTTGCCCATAATGCTATTTCTTGTACTAGAGATGTATTAAATAAAGCTTTATCTTCTTCAGGTATTGCATATATTTCTTGTGCAGGAAAATTATTTGTTACACCTTCATTTTGCGTATGTAACATTGTTTACAAGACTGACAGAATATTCTGCACAAGGTATAACTGTTTGAGAAAATATTATCTGCTGTTTATTATCTGCATTATCTGCTGTTACTATACTAGGTTTGCTTAATTTAAATGGTCTGTTCACAAAATCATCAACAATTTTTGGTAATTTTTGGTGACTTTATCGGATGTCTTTTCGAGCTCTTCATCTAGCAGATTATTTAATAATTGGTTTCTATTTCGCCTTTTTCTCATATAAGACTTTTTTTAAATTTTAGGCTTGAAACTTTTAACGTTACACTTTTAATAACTTTTCAGCTTTATACTTTAATTTAAAACATGTGACAAAGAAAATTTGTACCTTTGTGAACTAAAATGGCGTATATTTGAGTTTTAGTAGTGGTCACACATTCGGCAAATTTTAAATACAAACTTAAACTATATTTATTTCACGTGGGTTCGTTGAATTTTATAGCTTTAAAGAAATTAATTTTGGCAAATAAGTCTGAAATAATGTTAGTAAAACCAACGTTAATAAGACGTTAAAACGACGAAAAAACTCCTAAGTTTAAAACCCAACGTTATGACAACGTTGGATTTATTTGCTTGACATCGCCGACTTAAATACAACATAAATACAACGTTGGATTGACGTCGTGTGCCCGCGGGATATAATTAAAACAGTTAAAGACAATCGCTTATAAATATAACTGCAATATAATATAAGTTTGCTAAAGTTTCTTCACATAAAAAAACTAATTTTTATATATATATATATATATATATATATATAAGCATCGTAAGCTAAATAGTGATCTAACATAATAGTACTTGTAAAGTTGCCGCCTTTTTATTAAACGGGTACTTAGGGTTAATTATATTATATAACTTATCCAATAACTTATCTGCTGATTAAGATCTAATTTTAGTTCACGAAAGACCAACGTAGTACTTTATGTCATGAATAAAACAGAATTTCACCTAAACTTAATATCATTTAACTTTTTTTTTGTCGACGACACACAGACAATGAAAACAATTCAATGCGCGCAACACCTCCTCAAACAATGACAACATCTCAATTCAATCTATTGCTGAACAAAACGTTTGAACACACCTGTCTAATTAACAAAGTAATTAAAATGAACATTGCAATACTTCTGTATTCAATGTTGTCAGCAAGATAATACAATTAAAAAAAAACAATAAAACCCTAAAGACATTTTTTACCATAAAATAAATTGTTTATTGTTCATTCTATTCAACTTCTAATTACAGTTGCTCATGTCAGCCTTATTTAAGTTTCAATTACAATTTTTGGAAGTAAAATTTACTCAAAACTCCACAAAAGATTTTGTGTTTTCTATGTAACGGATTAACCCAAAAATATTGTTTCAGTTTTAAAATATCATAGTATTTGCTAACTGTTTGAGTTTCATCGTGTTCGACATAGAACACGATGAACCCAGTGAAAAACAAAACCGCGTCCCACATGGGTTCCATGTGGGTTTTTCCATATGTAACCCATGTGGAGATTATTATTTTGTCCCATGTGGGTTCCATATGGTAAATCCCACATGGGTTCCATATGGTAAATCCCACATGGAATACGTGTGGGTTTTTTCCATATGTAACCCATGTGGGGATTATTATTTTGTCCCATGTGGGTTCCATATGGTATGTCCCACATGGGTTTTATATGGTAAACCCCACATGGGATATAGGTAAAAAATACCGCAGATGTTATAGATCTTAAATGTCACGTATTTTAATCAAAATGGTATAAAAGTACTCAATACCAGAAAATTATAATTAAAATGAAATAAATGAGTCCGAACGCTTCTAGGATAATTTTTAAATATCCTAAAAATTAAAAATTACTGATTAAAAATTTACCATAAACTATTATAACGAAATTCTATAAAATCGAAAAAAGTGTTGCAAAATGAATTTATTTTAAAATAATTGCTATTAACAAATACATTAAAAATAAATATTGAAAATATTATTTGTTCTTTTGAGATTTATACACAAAACATCTTTTGTCGGTTGAATTAATAAAGTTAATCGCTTTGGGTCTCATAATACTTCAACAATTGGTTTATTTGTCGGTTGAATTAAAAAAGTATATGGCCTTGAATCGCTCAATACCAAGATTTTTAGTATCTTCTTACTTTCTTTAAATATTTTCTAAAATATATATATATATACATTATTCATTTTGCTTGCTAATAAACTAATAAAGTGAGCAAAAGGATAGGAAAACTGCTCACTATATTATATATATATATATATATATATATATATATATATATATATATATATATATATATATATATATATATATATATATTTATGTGTATATATATATATATATATATATATATATATTTATATATATATGTATATATATATGTTTATGTATATATTTATGTGTGTATGTATATGAAGACCTCAGTGGAAAAACCGGCGTTGTCACATTTAAAAAGTTTTGAGAAAGTGGTTATTGATCATTAATAAAAGTCTTTATTTAAAGCAAACAAAACTAAGTAATTTAAAAATATTTATATTATAGTTTATATAATGTTTAAAGTTTAATCAAAAACAAAACTATTTTAATTTTTTATATAAATATATGTTTTTTTGCCTTTTATAAAGACTTTTATTAATGATCAATAACTACTTTCTCAAAACTTTTTAAATGTGACAATGCCGGTTTTTCCACTGAGGTCTTCATATATTTATGTGTGTATGTATGTGTATATATATATATATATATATATATATATATATATATATATATATATATATATATATATATATATATATATATATATTCTATATGAAGGTGATCCTGAGAAAAAGTAATCCACTAGGATAAGCGTTTAACAAAAAAAAATAAAACAAAAAAAATTTAAGAACCTACTTTACAATGATGTAGACATTGGGTGCAATATACACAAGATGCAACAGTAGAACAGCTTTTTCGTCACACATTTTAATATGAAAACAATCAACAAACATCTAAATTTCCACAATTAAATTAATTCATTGATCATTGTCTTCATATCCTATTTTCATATTTATTATGGTAATATATAAATATATATATATATATATATATATATATATATATATATATATATATATATATATATATATATATATATATATATATATATATATATATATATATATATATATATATATATACAACATTAAAACTATAAGTTAATACAAAATTTCACTTTTAAACGAATGCCATTATATTTTTGATGATAATAGCATTAGGAGACTAGTATTTATGTATTATTATTATTATTATTATTATTATTATTATAAATAAATAGTTTCTTTTATTCATTTTATAAAATAGAGTCTTACAACTGATAATTAATGGAAATAAATACAAATTATAAAAATAATGTAAGCTTCTAAACACTATATTAATGTTAGTTTACAAAATTAAAATCAATTTAAAGAATCGCTATTAGTTCGTTTACGATTTGCACGCCCACCTATGTCTCTCGAGTTTATGAAATATCTAGTCAAAGCACGCTCAATTAACAGATTTTCAGCATTACAATGCTTTTTTCTTACACTTTCTAAAGAGAAATATGATAGATTGATTACTTTTCTTAACTAAATCATTTACTGGCATCATTTATGGATGACCCCATAGTCTAAATATAAAAAAATATATATTATAAAAATATTACAATATATTTTTAAATATGAAAAAGTATATATATATATATATATATATATATATATATATATATATATATATATATATTATTTTACTTCATTTAAGACACCTGTTGATATATAACAACAGCTTACAAAGCTTGCAATAATTCATTAAAGATTCTATCTGAGTTATTAAAACGTAATAAATTTAACATGAATGGAAAAGTAAAGCTGTTGTTATTTAAAAATGTAAAGGGCGTTGTCAAAATATGTTGAAAAACAAATCAATTCAAGTTACCTTTCACTAGATCCTCAATTAAATTCATGGCCATTTTGCCATTTTTGCCAGATCTGTTTGTCTCTTTTGCCATTTCAGATGTAAATAGAGACGACATCATTCGACTTATAGATTTTTCTTAAGTTGCAGCGTTGGAGTAACTAAGCCATTGGACCTATATATAAATACACACAAATAATATTGCATACTTAATTTAGCGCTATGATGCTATACTGATTCAGAGATAAGAGAGGGCTTCAGTACATACATCGACTGACTTAGGGGGAACCCACTAGTTGATAACACATTGAAGAGTTTAGGGTTGAAGAGTTTAGGTAGTATATATATATATATATATATATATATACATATATATATATATATATATATATATATATATATATATATATATATATATATATATAAATATATATATATATATATAGAGAGAGAGAGAGAGAGAGAGAGAGAGAGAGAGTAAATTATTTCTAATAATTAATGTTATATTTATAACGTATATAAATATAATCAAAGCCAACTTTTAAAAAGGTTTTAACTTACAAAGTCTTTTCTGATCTCAACATCTTTTAATCTATCAATCAACACTCCAAATTCCTCCGGAGACGAAACAACATTGAAAGTTATTGGATTTGAAATGGGAGTATTTCTTTCTTGAAGTAAACCTTTTACTTCCATCATAATATTTTTCAGTTGTTTAATTTCATATTCAATACTTGTTAGGCGGCGTTTAACATCATTGATTTCACTATTGGTATTGGTTGAAACACATTTTACTGGATTACCTTAATTTAATAAACTAAGTATACATGAATATATACATATATATATATATATATATATATATATATATATATATATATATATATATATGTATATATATATATATATATATATATATATATATATATATATATATATATATATATATATATATATATATATAGAAAGAGAGAGAGAGAGATACCTTCTATCACAGGATGTGCACCCCAGGATTTTTCTTGTGAATGTAGCTTAGAAATTAGTTCAGTAGCGGATTTACAGCTTGAATTAGAACTGAAAATGATATTATAGAAAATAAACAACGGAATAGATAATAGTCAAAATTATTATCAAGAGTTATTACCTATCAAGATGTTTTAATGGAGGCAACATTTTATTTGTTGTAAAAGGAAACTCTGCAATATAAAAATATAAATCATCAATATCATCATCATCATTGTCATTAAATCATCATTATCATCAATATCATCATCATCATTGTCATTAAATCATCATTATCATCAACATCATCATTTCTTGTAATTTTCTTACCAGAGGTAACTTTGGAAAAACTCAAAGAACTTTCATTAGAATCTAAATTGGAAATAATCCTATTATATTTCAAATATGAACGTTCAGTTGTTATGTCTACTTGGCTGCTTAAATAAAATAGAAAATAAAACGGAAAATATAAAAATTTACTTGACATTGCTGATGACATAGGACTAAATAAATTATTAGCTTTATTTGTTTGTCCTTTTGGATTTTCTGAAGTCGATCCACTATAGTAAATTCATAAATTTTTAATTTTATTATACTGTCATTGTAAAAAAATGTAAAAAGTATAACGCAGTATAAGTTTTATAGGGCTTCATACTTTTGGTAATATCAACTTATCTAGTAACTGAATGTGAAACTAGTTAATATTTAAATAAAATTCTATAACGATACCAGATTTAAAAACTACAAATAAAAATAATGTATTACCATTCATAACGAGAAGTTAAGAATTTTTTTCTACTTTCTGGTGCTTTTTCCTCAAATGAAGACGAGTCTTCAGCCTGTTTGGCCCTTGTTTTTGCTGTTTTTTCATCATCTAAATTATTGCAATATAATTATAAGATAAAACATTTCTAACAACAACTTAATGCAAAAAACTATTGAATACTGATTGCAAAAAATAATTGTTAAAAATATAATATCTATAAAATATACAAATAGAAATTTAGTTAAATTAGTTACTGACCAACTGCTTCTCCTAGTATTCGCACGCCAACCAAGCTCCAATCATCTCCGGGAATTTCACACTTGGTTCTCACCCGATTAATTCTTGTTCCTTTGTATGGGGGCCACCAACATTGGGTCTCTCCGACTAGCCAACATTCGCACACATAATCCACACTGCCATCTTCCTCTATGAATTCAACTATGTAAAATGATGTCATCTTAAAAAAACTATAAAATTTTATAATAGAATCATTTATTAACTTTATTTAATAAAATTTATTTCTGAGATGTTTCTCAACTTCTAAATGTTTATGTAATTGTTTTTTTTAATATTTTGATAAATGTTAATAAAATTTATAAACAGTGTTATGATTATAAAAATTTCAGGTTAAAAAGTGATAACATCAAGAAAATAATTTTTTAAATACAAATAAATTGCTGCTGATATTATAACATAAATATCAAATTTATTAGGCATAAAATTAACCACAAGCTTATTTTCCAAAATAGTCAATAGATGGAAAAGGAAAAATTATTAGAGTATTGTCGCACTGTGTAAAAGCAACACACTTCCGAATTACTTTAGATTTTAAAACATGTCCCGTTGGCGGTAAATACACTCCAATATGTAACAAATTAAAAGATTGTGGGTAAGAATAAAAATCTCTACATTTTTCCATTAAAAAACCTGACCCAATCATTGTATTACTTTCTAATGATTGAAGCTGCATAATTCCGTTTTCTGTTAAAAAAAATTGATCATTTGGATTTTTTAACCATGCAAGTACTCTACGAGTTTGTGAATAATTCAAAATTTCAAGCTCACTAACCCGATTTACGGCCTGACTTAAAAGATTTGAAGTGCCACAAAATCTTTTTCTTAAAACACCATAGTAACTTTCTGCCCAAAATGCAGACCAAAACCCAAGATTGCCATACTTCTCTATATACTCAGGAATATGAAGAAGCACATGGACATTATACACTAAATGATGTCGACCATATAAAGATTTAATTCCAGAAACATAGCTAATTAATGCTTCATTGCCATCATGTATCATATTCTTCCAATTATCACAAGAAAAAGCATAAATGGCTGAGTGTAAAAACATAAAATGATTGTACTCTGTAGTAGGCAGTACAGCTTTAAGGGCTACAGGACCTACAAATAAAAGGAAAATTCTAAATTCAACGGCTTTCCATAACCTTATCTCAACAATCGATCTTGGGTGTCTTGAAAATTCTGAAGGAAGGCATTTTCCTAAAATGCAAATAAAATTAGACAGCAAATTTTTACTTGAAGGAACCAGTCGACCTTTTCCTCTAATCTCACAACACCAAATGAGTAACAATCGACGCATATTTCCAAGATATAACAAATGCATTGGATCAGGTGGGAAACATGTTACCATTGGAACTATTGTGACTAAGGGAGACTCTCTCAGTTGGTGTCCATTTCTTTCCAAATTTAAAAACTGTTGATCAGTGCGTTGCACACCAATAGTTTCAGAAAAAACAATTTTTTTAAATTCTTTAATGTAAAACCCTTCATCTTGGCAATAATCACAAGAAAAGTATCCTCCACATTGTTTTGTACCTTTACAAAATGCCCTGGCTGGTGCATCACAAACGAAGAAAAGAATTTTAATTCTTGTTTTTGGATAAAGGGTTTTTATATTTTTGGACACTTGGGTAAAATCAGTAATAAATGGCAAAAAAAAATCAACTAATGAATCCAGCTTTGAAGAACCAATGTGTATACCTGCAACAAATGGAGTTTGATCTAGAGATTCATTTACTCTACAAAGTATAGGCCACATTGATTTGTTGGTAGAATTTTGAAGCTTAACACCATCTACATTTATTGCTAGCGATACAAGAGTTTCTCCACCGTCAACATAAACATCCTGCTTTAATTTTTGATACTGAGATCCTTCAGGAATCAATTCAGCATTTAGCCCAGCATCAATTCTATTTTTTATATTATCTTGAATTCCAAAATAGTGGATTTGTATAATTTTTATTATAACATTTGATCTTTCTAAGTAAAGTGGCAGCGCAAATGGGTAAATTATTATCAGGACCAATAATTTTTAACAACGCTGAAAATGCATTTTTTGATACATTATACTGTATATACCATAAAATGAGTTTGTCTTTTAATGAAAGCTGCTCTAAGTTAGAATTTTCCAAGTTAGAGTTTTGGTCATCATCTTGACTTAAATCGTCTAAACTTTGGAAAAAATCGTGATCATTTAAAAATTAAAGTTATTTAAAAACTTGTCAGCATTTTCATGGTGAGTTGCCTCATTTTTAAAATCAACAGCGGAATCGTCAACTTGAGATATAGAAGGTGAATCTGTAGAGCAGTCTAAAAGCATATTATCTTCCCTTTTATTGACTTTATTGACAAAATAATATTTCTTTTGTGCCCCCTAAAAAATAAAATGTAAAAATTTAAATTATAAAGAATAGCTGACTTATTTAAAAAGAATAAAAGAGAAAAAAATAATCATTGTATTATTATTGTATATGCCATGCATTACATGTCACGTTCAATAATGATAAACATTCTTACTATAGTAAGAATTAGTACTAATTAACAAATTTGAACAAATGAGAAAATTAGTGAAATTAATGAATGAAAAAATTATAACTTGAGCTTGAACTAAAACTTGAATTTGAACAAATTAGTACTGACTTGTTTATGCATAACCTTATAAATAAGTTTAAATAATAAATTATATGTATAACTATCAAAGGCTATAGGTTATATATATATATACCTATGTATAACATATCCGTATATATATATATATACATTTATATATATATATATATATATATATATATACAAATATATATATATATATATATATATATATATATATATATATATATATATATATATATATGTATAATACCTATGTATAACATATATACCTATCAGGGCGTTAGCCAGACATAAATTTTAAACCGCGTTTTTGCTGTATTGGGAATATTTATTGTTGCTGTTCTAGAAAATATGAGAAATTTTCTAGAAATTGTCCTAAAAAACTATGTATGCTATGTATAACATTTTAAATCATATTAATTTATTTATATATTACATTTATATATTAATTTATATATTTACTTTGAAAACCGGACCTAGAGTCTTTATTGAAAATTGAAAGTTTCTGTAAATCTCTTGTTTTTGTTCCTCGATGTAGTTCATAAGTCCCTTAAGTCTTAAGGACTATACAAAATTTAAAGTTAAGAGTTTTAGAGCCTAAAAAAAAGTTACAAAATCCCATCCCTTCTTCCCCCTATTTTTTTATTTTTCAATAAAAAAAGGGAGTTCTTAGACTTTAAAAATTGGATTTCTTTTTGGGACACTGCATATTTGGTTTTTGGCAAAATTTAAACTTGCATCAGTTAATTGAGTGAAGATAGCAGATAATATAATCAAGAACTGTATTCAAATAACTATTATATTATCATAATAATAAGTCTATTTGCACAAAAAATTCTTATTTCTATAAAGACAGATACAAATTATTTGTGGTACTTACATACTTGCTTGCCATTCTTTAAAAGAATATAAAATATCTTTAAACTTTAAAAATGATTTTTTGAAACAATATGAAACCTCTACTCGCCGCGAAAAATAGTGATGGTTTCCAGGCTTCAATTAAAATCCCACGTAAATACCACATGTACCCCATGTGGGATTTCCCATGTGGGAAAATACCATATGGATCCCACATGTAACCCATGTGGGATTACCCATATGGGTTTGAAGTGGCAAATTTCCATACGGATACCACGTGGGATTACCCATGTAGGTAAATACCATATGGTTCCTACATGGAACCCATGTGGGATAACCCATATGGGTTTGACGTGGCAATTTTCCATACGGATACCACATGAGAAAATCCGTCCCACATAAATCCCATGAACCCACATGGAACCCATGTGGGACGCGGTTTTATTTTTCACTGGGAAACTCGAACAGTTAGCAAATATTTACAAGTAAAAGATTTTAGTTTTGAAACTCTACGCGTTAAATGTAACCAAAACTTTAATCTGAAAGTTTTTATATATACCTAAAAATAAAACTTTAAATAAAAAAAGTGAACAACACTCACCAACAGGGAAATTATAGACATTGAAGTTTCCGATGGGGCCATCCTGGATTTCATACCATGAATCTCCAGAGTATACGTTGACATCTGTAAATACTTGTGCGTTTATGTTTTCTAACTCGTATACTTTTTTTAAATTAATTAATATATAAAAAACTCTTTCCAAAAACAACTTGACCTATTTGAACTTCTATCCACTGGTCCAGTAAAAGTGGCTCGTAATAAAAATATTCATTTTTATTACCACTTATTGTAAAAACAACGTGCAACTTTTGTTTATAAATCCAAACCCTAGGAATTCGATCACCGTAATTTACATTATCCTCTCCTATAGTCAAATGAATGACACTTCTATGACCATCTGAAAAACTTGTTTTGTTTAGCTTGTTTTACATTAGGGCTCCAAAAATAGGTACTTAAACCATACGTAACCACGGATAGTAAAATAATTCTAAGTTTCACTCTCTAAAATAAAATTCACAAATTCAGCAGTTTTTTAGTAAAAAGTTATTTCAAAAAAAATATTCAAAAACTCATTAGAAAAAAAAAAACAAATTTTAATACTATCATTTGTTTTATTATTTCTATCGAAATGTTTCGTTTGTGTCAGCAGATATGCATCGATTGATGAAATAGTGCATCTTTATGTAGAGAACAAGGTTACTGGCGTTTGACAGACTCATTATTTTTAACATTAGTTTTTTAAGTTTAATTTTAGTTTTGTCTTATATTTGATTGTTAAAAAATAATTTAATCACCCTTTGACGTTAAGTCCTAAATGATAAAATCTCATTTTGCATAGAATTTTCCAATTCATTTTAATTATCTGATTTTATCATTCGATTTAACATTTATTATACACTAGTTAAAAGGTTATAGTATGTTGTAATTAATACTTCGTAGCATTTGTTACAATTTTTTAAATCTCGTCCTTAAAAATTAAATTAATGTTTCCTAATGGTTTCTAATATTTGTTTCTTCTTCCTATGTTGCTCAAATCAAATCAAATATATTCTATTTATAGTTGCTATATCAAAGATATTTACAAATAATAATTTGTACTAATATAAAGTAAACACCTGTCAGACTGAATAAAAAAAGATTGAGATAGTGATAATAATTTTAATACAAGAATAATAAAGTAATAGTAGTGATTATAGTGATAAAAAGTCATAGTAGCGATTATAAAAGTATATACTATAATAATAGTAATAATAATAAAAGAAATTATAATGAAATTATAATAATAATAACAAAAATAATAGTAATAATAATAACAATAATAATAATTGTAATAATAACAACAACAGTAATAATATAAAAATAATAGTATAAAACTAGTTATAATAATAATAACGACAAAAATAATAACAACAACAATAAAAACAACAATAACAATAATATTCATTATGATAAAAATATAGTAATAATAACAACAATATTGATAAAGAGAATACTATTGAAACATTGCAGTTTAAAATAATAAATTTTGTAAATGATATTAAAATTAGTAATATATCACTATGGAAAAGATAAAAAATAATAGATGAATATTTTCAGTGTTAGGGTTATAAATAATAAGTTGTAAAAAGATATAAAATTTATAAACAGTATTTTTCTTAAATATGGTTAAATAGAGCAGTTTTAAATTTTTACAATGATTTAAGAGATTTGGGAAGGAAGATTGATTGTTCCAGGTTTTATGTTGTATGTTCCATGCTTTTATGATGTATGGGTTCGTAGCCGTAATGAACAATTCGATATTAAGGTACAGTTAATTTAAAGTTGAAAGCAGATCGTAAAATATACTTACAATTTTTCCTATAACTAAAAAAGTTGATATATGTAAGAGGTAGGTTATTATGATTTTGGTAAATTAGAGTCTATTTTAATTCCAAGATATTTAATTAAGAGTTTACTGGATTTATTTTTTGCCCTCTTAATCTGAAATTTAATTACTTATTTTTGCTTGAATAGATTTAAATATAATAATTTCCATTTTTTTTAGAGTTAAGAGTTAATTTATTTAAGCGGAGCCATTGAACAACATTAGCTAGATTGTGATTCATATTTTTGTTAAGTTTTTTAAGTGATTTGTTAATTAGGAGTAAGTTGGTGTCATCCGCAAAGTGTTAAGCAATAAAAAATTTTAGAGAAACCTTTAAACCATTGATAAAAATAAAAAAAAGTAATGTAAACCAAAACCGAGCCTTGCGGAACACCATTAAAAGGTTTAGATAGTCCCGAGTTGATACCGTTAATTGAAACAAATTGTGTTCTATTACAAAGATAAAAGGAAAACCAGAGAAAAGGAATACCTCTTATACCGTAGTGTTTAAGTTTTTTTAGGAGGATTGTGTGCTTAACTGTATCAAATGCCAAATTTATGTTTTTCTAAAAAATGTTCGAGTCTTAGGAACATTACTTTTTCATACAGTTTACTTATAAAGAAGTGAAATAGGTCGATAATTGGAGTAGTCTAGATAAAAACATATTTTGTGTATAAGAATCACTTTGTCTACCTTAAATGCTTCTGGAAAATTATTATTTTTGAAAGAATTATTCATCATAGTACATAGAGGTTTGGAGATTATGTGAGATACTAGCTTTAGTAGAAACTTTGGCAGAGTATTGGTACCTAGGCTTTTATTATTTTTATAAATGAAAAAATATTAGTACTAGGTACTTTAAGAAAGTTGCCAAAAACGCTTTTTGAAGGAACACTATTTTTAAGTAGTTTGTCTTGAATAGTTGCAAAAATATCATTAAATATATTAGCAACAATGGTATGATCTGACATTTTCATTGATTTTGAGAATAAAAGACTTAGTATAAGTAGAAGGTTTGATGTGTATTGATTCTTTTTCAGGTATTCTTCAGATTATTGATTTTTATTAATTTTTTTTATTAAAAAAAGATGCATAGTACAATTGTTTAGAATTTTAACAAATTGCTGTTTTTATTTTTGTATAACTTAAATTTAGTAAATAACATATTTTCAGTATTCACATTTTTTGATCTAGTAAATTATTTATGAAGTATGTTTCTATTAGAAATAGATTTAAGAATACCAGAAGTTACCCAGGGTTTATATTGAAGTTTAATTTGTTTTTTTGTTAATTTACTATAATTATTTTTTTGTTTTGTTTTTTACTTTCATTATGTCGTTTGTTAAAAGTCGAAAAAAAAAGAATTTTCAATAATATAAAATCCTTACGGAGCAAGAAGAAGACAAACTTGTCTAATCACTAAAGAATCACAAGAAGAAGACAAACTTGTCTAATCACCACGCCCCGTTACATTCGTGTTTACAACCGTTTTTAAAAAATTTACCCAAGTGATAAGTGATAAATAAAACAGTAAAAGTAATGTAAAACTTCAAAATGTAATGCAAAAAAGTATGCAAAACTTCAGCAATAAAATAAAACTTTGCTGATAATCTTCCAGCGGAATAATTTAAAAACATAAAAAAAAAAGTTAGATAACCATCAAAGTGCATCACAAAAATTACAAAAAGTTGCAAAAAGTATCAGGGCTGGTTAAAAAATATCAACAAAAACATAAAACAAAAAAAGAAAACAGTCAAAAAATGTTATAATAAATGATTTATTTAATTCAAAACCTTTTAAATAGTTTCATTTAATATTAAAATTTTTTAAATAGTTTTATTTAATATATTTAATTCAAAACCTTATAAATAGATATTTGATATCTATTTACATCAAAGTCCTTGTTTAGTAAATGCACTTTTGAATCACTGACTAAATTAATTAGAATATAAGCTCACATCATATACAGTGAAAGCTCTCATTTTCTCCATCATATACAGTGAAAACTATAAAGGAAAAATAACATTAACACCAATCTCATAGTTATACTGCAAAAGAAAGGCAATCAAACTCTCAAATAAATTTTCGAAAAAAACTCAAACAAAAATCATAGAAAAATAAGTCTTCTGCTGCAATAGCCTATAAAAATAGCTATTTTATACCGCATACGAGTACCTATAGAAAGAGTAATCAAACCTGTTCATAGCATTTGTAGATTTCAAGAAGACATTTTTAACTTAATTAAACGGTCAACAGCCAGAATTGTTCCCATTATACTTAATACCAAAATTTTTGAAGCAGCATGCAAACCTATTTTGCCCTAAAGCTGCAAAAGTTAGATTCCAACGGAAAGCTTCGAAACTTTAACACTTATTAGCATTTCAAGTAATCGCAAAAGTTGCAGGTTAATCCGAAGTCTTACTTCGAAATCCATTAATATAATTGACCAAGTCAGCATTTGTAATAATGATGATTGCCCTTGGAGCATCGACGATTCATATTACTTACTTTATTGACTTATTTAGAAAACCCCCATGCTACCTAAGTTTAGGAATTTAAGTAAATAATTTTGTTATGTATGATTTTAATAAAATTTAATGTAATGAAAAATGGTTGTTGTTTATTATTTAGTAAAATAGTAGAATTTGAAAAAATTTTTTAAAAATTGAACTATTTGCGCATGCAAATGTGGAATCAGAGGAACATCAACTTTTTTGGTTTATTTATTCAACATTAAAAAGTTTTTTCAACCCGATTAAAACTATTTTAGTAACATCACTCAAGTAAAATACTCAAGCACGCGGGAAAAAAAATACCAGTAGTAAAAAAAATACCAGTAGTAAAAAAAATTTATAAGACGAAATACAAAAACTGGCGGAAATGTGGTATTTTTAGGGGGAAATTGCTCGGTTTTCAGAAGCAATTGTTGTTTGCTAGCGATTTTAATTCGTGACGAGGGGAATCATGTTTAGCCCTCATGCTACGCAAGTAGAAAAAACATGTGAGAAAAAAGCTGTTTTTACATGCGAAAAGCATCCTCCAGTTAAAAAAAATTATTTGAATTAAAAATTGTATTTATTTTTAGGCATTTTTAAAAAAAAATTGTTTGATTTATCGTTTTTCAGCAAGTGGAATGTTTTCCAAATAATTATTTTCAGCAAGTGGAATGTTTTCCAAAAAAATATTTTCCTGTTGTCATTACCGTGCATACGATTGTAATCTCCCCTTTTTCTTCTCTCAGTTAGGGTTGTTAAGCCTAAAGCAAAAATTCGATCTTAGTTTTTAAGACTTCTAATTTATGAAACAATTATAGTTGCTCTGTGTCGTGTTTTTTCAATCGCATTTCAGTCTCCATTCATATAAAGAAACCAAACCGAAACTGCTAATTCAAGAAGTAGACAAATGAATGTATAAAAAAGTGATCTCGTAAGTTGACAATCGAAATTTGCCAATGATTTCTTTAGTCGTCCTAGAATTTGATTTGTTTCCCTAATTTCCATGATTATTTGATCTTGCTATTTTGCAGCCGTGGCGCAGTGGTAGCGCACTTTTTTCTTTTCAGAAACAAAGGTTCCGTGGTTCAAACCCCAACTTTTAGTAAGTTTTGCGACGGTTAGGAATTAGGCGTAAACTTCC